GAGAGAGAGAGAGAGAGAACATAATTCAACAAATTTCAAACGAACTACAATATAATGAAAACAAATAAACTAAAAACTTTAAACATCCATAAAAGCAACTAGCAAAAAAACACACAAACACTTACCAATCGTATCAATAGTAGTCTGCATATGTCCCACCCTGCTCATCACGTCCAGCTGCCCATACTTATAGCTCTCGATGATACTCTTGATATCCAGGGGCCTCAATAGGTCCACAAACCTCTGTTTGGCGATAAAAAACTTCGTCAAACAAATGAACTTCTTCTCAATCGTCTCGAAGTAGTAAAACTTGTAGATATCCGTAGGCTTGTGGGCAAAGAACCTGGATGTCTCGTTGTATTTGATGCTGGACTTGTAGCACCTCCACGCGCATTGTATCAAGGTAGCCGCGGCCGCCTTTTTCTTTTTCCGTTGCCGATTGCGCTCCTCCTCCTCGACCTTAAGGGCCAGTCCGGCGCCGATAATACCGGCCGGTAAGGCAAATAAGGCCACTCCTAGTACGGTGAACACGCTGGCGATGAGCTTGCCCAGCCAGGTCACCTAGGTGATGGTGGTAGTGGTGGTAGTAGCAAGATAAATGCAATGTGAGCAATAAGGTAGGTTGTTTTGTAATTGATTATATTAATATAGCTATTTTTAAATCGTAATAAGTGCTAGCTAATTTCACTGTATACTGTACTAACTGTCCCTTAATAACAAAAATATGTGGTGGAATGTAGTTTCCATTTAGCATTAATTGGTAAAATAAATTTTATATTTAATAGTAACCTGGCTAACATTATTTGCACTTGTTCATACATTGTATGACATACAAACTCTATCCATCGATATTGTTCATCAGCTTATAGTATTATTTTTATACGATATACCTACTAACTTACCATGTTAAATACTAATTTAAAACTATTTACATACCGGTACTCGATCCCCATAACCCACCGTAGCCAACGTGACCACCTACATAATCAAGTATAAGGACAAATCAATTAATTAAGCACATACTAAACTACCCCAATCCCTACCCCCACCCCCATGCCCACAAATACATACCGACCACCACATGGCCTCCGCGATATTATCGAACTGTTCGTTATCATCCTTTTCCACGATATAGGAAATGTAGCCCAAAAGGCAC